GTGCTTTCTTTCTTTTAAAGTCATTTCATATGTATTGTGTGTGACATACACATGTATCGCAACATACATGTAGAGGTCAGAGGACAGCTTGTGGGCGTCAGTTCTCATCACGCAGGTCACAAGGTTTGAACCCACATTCATAAGGCTTGGTAGAAAGGGTTTTACTGACGGAGCCATCCCATCCACCTATTGCTGTTTTTTTGAAACAAGGGAGTCATGTGGCCCAGGCTGGTCTCAAACCCAGTATAGAGCCCCTCAAGGATGACCTTGAACTCCTGGTCTTCCTGTCTCTACCTCCAGAGTCTTGGGATTACAAGTATATACATAGACATTTCTATTTACCCTTTGCATTTATGTGATGTTGGGGTTCAAACCCAGGACTTCGTTTATGCTAGGCAGACACCACCCACCCAGCTCCACCTCCAACCCAATTCACTTAATCCCAACAATTCCATGGGTAGATTAATTTTCTCCCTCTGACCAGTGAGGGAACCACTTCTGTGCCGTCGTTGTCTGGGGCACCTTGTCTGGGCACCTTGTCTAGGGGTACACATGCAATCCAGCCCTCCACACTCACCTTTTTTGTGACGGGGAGCTTCTTTCCAGCTGCCACCCGAGCAGCCCTGGTTGACCCCTTCTTATCACTGCTTCGGAGTCCGGCTAGGCTGCTTGGGGATGGTGTGCTCCAAGAGCTCACAGTGGGCAGCAGATCCCGGACAGGGCTGTCCTTCAGAACAAACGTCTCCCGCCGAGGGCTGGGCTTCCCTCTGGAGCTGGGCTTCCCTGGACCAGCACCTGCACTCTCCCGATCTTGCAGGGCACACTCCTCTAGCTGAGCAGCCAGGCGGTTGGCTTCATCAAGGATCTCCTCCAGCTTCTCTGGGCTGATCGGGCCCAGACTGAACCTCACACCCTGGAGAGTGGGAGCTACTGCGTTCGGGTTACTCCGGTGAGAGAGACCCCGTCGGAATGGTTTCTCTGGACTCACCAACACTGTTAGGTCTTCCTCCTCATGACTGAGAAAGCAAACATGGCACCATGCCACACAAAAGATTGCATGCAGAAGGCATACCTGAAGTAGAGCCAGGGACCATCCCAAACCCTGACTCCATTCTGGCTATGAGAACTGCCTTTACATGAGATACCTGGTTCTGTTGAGGCCCAGCAAGTCTTTAGCATCTCCTACTTTCTTTTCCCCACTCCCCACTTTCCAAGACAAGGTCTCAACTCTGTAGACCAGAATGATCTCAAATTCAAAATCCTCTCTGCTTCCACCTCCTCTGTGAGTGTGTGTGCACGCACACGCGCACGCACACACGCACGCACGTGCACACACACACACACGCTCACTCAGGTCTATCCTGGGAGGAGGGGGGTGGTCTGCACACTCCATGCATTCCATGGACATGCCTCAACATGCCCAAGCACATTTACATTAACCCCTAAATGTAACTCCAGTTTCTCCCCACCAGCATCCAAGCTGTGTCCTACAGGCCCGATTCCTCCTACTGGTGGCATCAGAGTGCACTGTACTCTGCTAAATTACCAACCCCAGCTCTAGAGGCCAATAAAGGGTCACAGTTAAAGGTGTATCGCCGGAGAAAAATAGTGAGGATAAAGGGGCTGGTACCTGTCAGATGGGGACAGCCCTCCAAAGTCCAAGGTCTCATCCACAATGAACTTGACATCTAAAGGGATGAGAATAAAAGTCAGCTATCAGTCCCTGCAGACTCTTGGGGCTTCATTCTCCCCTCCATGGCTTCCTTACCTTCTTTCAACTCTTCCATGCCCAGGCAGCAGAAGCGAATCAGTTTAGACCTGAGCAGGAAAGAAAACAAGCCTACCTCGGGTGTCTATCATCCTGCCCTACGCCCCCATCTAGACTCAAGGTGCACTATCTGGGGTGGAGAGGCATGGTGGTGGTAAACTAAGATCCAAGAAACAGCACGTGCCCCTGAAACTAGCCCGTTGTTTTCGGGAAAGGTGCAGAGAGCTCGGGCCCCAACACCTGACTGTAAATCTGCCTCTTCTCTGCACATTCCTCCTCCCCCTTGTTATTATCCGGGATTTTCCCCCCCCCCCCACTTCCCCCGCCACCTTTCCACTTCCCGGCACCACATCCCTGCCACACCTCCGGCGTACACTCCGTTTTCACTTCCCACCCCGCCTCACCGTCCACGCAGGATGCTTTTCTCCCACAACCTCCCAGTTCCCGGGAATAGGCTCCCGAGGGGCGGAGCGTCTTTCGAATTTCCTAGGCTCCACCCACTTCTGCTCCAAGCGCACAGCGATTGGCGAGTCCATGGGGGCGGGGCTGAGGCGGGAACGTCGGGAAGACCGCCGAAGAAGGTTGTAGGGTGGACCTAAGCGCAGTTCCCAAAGAGGCTCCATCTGGGGGCTTCTGGGGGGGGGGGGGTGGCGAAGTCACAAGTGTGCGCGCGCGCCTGCCCGGGAGTGCCTCCTCCTGACTGCCCGCCAGAACCTGCAAGGAGCGGCAACGGCGAGGAGCGGGGAACCCGGCCGACCAACGTGGGCTTGGAGCCCCGCCTCTTCCCTGGCCCCCACCTCCTGCCGTCCAGGCCGCTCTAGGTTTAGCGTCTGGGCTTTTCACCTGCTTACTGAGACCCCGCCAATAAACAATCTCTCCAGCCCCGTGGCACAAGAATTCTTCACTTAACATAAGGCCATTTCTCTGAGATAGCTGATATTTCTCCTCTCTGTTTCAATCCCAAAATGGCGTGTATGAACAGCTATTTAAGAGTTTAAATAAATAATTAATGAAAAAGAATTATACTTCCAGGCACACAGTAAGTCTTTGCTAAGAAGGTATTCCATAAGTATCGAATTCATAAATAATAACAGTAAAGAAAATGGATTTCAGGGCAGTGCTCCTTAAACGCAGAAGGCTTTCATATGGCTAGAGATCTCGCTCGTGTGAAGATTTTATTCCTTTTCCAGGAGGCTGGAGGTGTGGATATCCCACACATTCTGTTCTAGGCCTGCTCTAACCTCTGCTGTTGTGTACGCTGTTGCCTGGCTATGGTCTGACCTCTCTTCTCCATTCACACACACACACACACACACACACACACACACACCATCTCTGTCTCTTTTCTTTCTGTATTTTGTTGGTTGTTTTTTGGGACAGGGTCTCATGATGGCTTTAAATTCACCAGTAGCCAAGAATAATCTTTTATTTTTATTTATTTATTTATTTATTTTTGGTTTTTTAGAGAAAGGGTTTCGCTGTAGTTTTAGAGCCTGTCCTGGAACTAGCTCTTGTAGATCCGCCTGCCTCTGCCTCCCGAGTGCTGGGATTAAAGGCGTGCATCACTCTGCTATATATAGGACTATTCTCTAGGCCAGCTGCCACCATCTCCAGGAGTTCCGTCATGCCTGCTCGGGAAAGATCCGCACAGCTGGGCCTGTGGCCTGTTTACTCCCGCCCCGCCCCCCAGAAGGAAGAGGTGGAAACAGAAAGGCTGGGACCCTCACCTGAGTACGCAGCTGTCCCTCTCAACCACTTGTTCTGTCCTGATTGCACGTGGTTGGGGGGAGGAGCTACAGGATATAATTAGGGAGAGGGGCGGGAAAAGCGTTTCTTCCAGCAGCCATGGAGAAGCAGTCATCTCTGTCAGACTCAGACCTTCGGGGGCGGCAGTTTTAAAGTTAAAGTCATGGGTGCTCCTGTCTGGACCCTTCAGCCACCGCTCTGTAGGTAAGCCTATTAAGTTCACGGGGGCCTCTGGGTAAACTTTGGTGGACAGACTTCTCCCGGGCCTCTCAGGAAGATGCTCACTAGAGCAGGGCCTTAATGCTGAAGGGAACCAAGGCAGCTGCTGAAGTTCAGTGCTCTACCATCGAGTTACACATGTGTGACATAGCGGATTCAGTTATCTAGCGTGTAACAGGCCACTTCAGAAAGTAGTGATTTAGGAGCTGGGCATGGCGGGGTGGCATGCCTGCCATCCCAGCACTTGAGAGGCCAAGGCAGAAGAGTCTTGAATTGAGGATCTTAAAAAAGATTTTATTTATCTTTATTTTATGTGTATGTGTAACTGCCTGCGTGTCTGTATGTGTACCACATGTGTGTGCCTGTCCCTGCAGAGACCAGAAGAGGGCATTTGACCTCCTGGAACTGGAGTTACAGATGGTTGTGAGTCATCAGTGGGTACTGGCAACTGAACCCAGGCCCTCTGCAAGAGCAGCCAGTGCTCTTAACTGCTGAGCTGCCTCTCCAGTCCTGGGTTTGTGGCTGTTGATGATATGAATAAGGAAGGCACAGGGGAATGGGAGGGACGATGGTCATCTTTTACGGATTCCTTCGCAGAATATCTTCAATATACGACTTGTTATAAGTATGCAAAAAAATAGAAGCAAGAGAGACAGCATCCCAGGGCTCCGGTCTACGGCCTCTGCCTTCAGGTAGTTATGTGGGATGTGTTGTGCTGCTTGCTGTGTGTAATTGTTACATAGTTATACCAATTTACAGAAGAAAGCTGTGGTGGTGGGGGGGAGAGACGGCAAATCTTCTTTTTCCAGTGCCTCATGCTGTGCAGAACTGAATTTGGTTCTGTGATAAACGGTCTGGGGTAAGTGATAAAGTCAGAGACCTCAGCGGACAGGCTGGGGATGTGACTCATTCTGTAGAGTGTTTGCCTCACTTGCATGGAGTCCTGAATTCAGTCCCTAAAATCCCGTAAACTAGAGTCTGAAGCCTGTAATCCCAGCATTCAGGAAGTGGGGGCAGGAGTACCAGAAGTTCAAGGACATCGTTGACTTTATAGAGTTCAAGGCCAGGCTGGGATATATAAAACTCCATCTCAAAAAGAAGTTGGGCCGGAGAGAGGGACCACTTCTGTAAGAGAGAGTGTGTGGATATGAAGGAACAGAAGAAAAAGAGGAATCTTAGGGTTTTAGGATCATCTAGTCTGGTTGAAAGACTGCACCCTTCGTGAGTTTTCCCCACGTAGAAAGGCCCAGAAAGGACATTTTGAGAATTGAGGATCTGTATATTTATTTAGCTTAGACCAAGCCAGCTAAGGCTCCTTAGGAATACAGTCTTGTCAGTCATGCTTCCCGGAGGCCCTGCAAGGAGAGGCTACATTAGTGACAGCATAGCAGGCAAGCAGATCACATCCAGGATGCGCCGAGACCATCTCTCTTCACGGTCCCTGGGTCCAGTGCTATAAATTCATTGCCCACCATGCTTTGCTCCTGAGCACCAGCTGGGAGCCAGAAGGAAACCAAGGATAAGTAAGACCAACCCTGACACAACATGGTATCGACAGAGAGGGCGGGGAGGGAGAGAAACGTCTATAAGCCAGCTGGCAGAGAAGGCTCTCCTGAGGAGAGTTTGCGCATTTAATGCAGCCCATAGGGTTTTCATTTGCTCCGTATCGTTGATGGGCTTAAATAAATGGCTTGGAGGATCGAATTCATGCTTAGTTTCCTGCAGCCAGGAGCTGAAAGTCAGAGGAAACGTTGGGTGCTAGGTCTCTGTTGTTCTGCCATGGGCCTTTCTTTCACCTCAGCCATAAGTTTATACACAGCATTTTCCCTGTGGATGATGGGGAATTTGAAACAGCTACCACATTCTAGATAATGATCCAAGCGGCCCTTTGCCAGTGATGAGCGGCTTGGAAACCACACACCCAAATGTTAAGTTATTGTTGACATTTAACAAAAATGATTTTCTTCTGTTGAACAGGGAGAAATGTGTAAAATTTTAAAAGAATATGGACAAGCCATTTTGTTTCTTATCCGCTTACGATGGTGAGGTAGGAACACTGAGCAGAACTGTCCCCTACCTAGAGTGCGGGTCTGCCGGTGGGGACTCTGGTTTCTTCCTCTTATGGTCCCCACCCAGCTCTTCCCACAGAACACCCTCCAAAGATTATTAGGTTTCATCCCTATCATCGACCTAAGTAGAAATGTGCAGGCTATGACAAAAGCAGACTTTCCTATTCCAGGTCCCTCCAAAGAGCTGATAGTGATAGAACCTAAGGGGGGGGAGAAGGCGGCTCTGGTGCACGCCTTTAATCCCAGCACTTGGGCGGCAGAGGCAGGAGGATCTCTGAGTTCAAGTCCAGCCTGAACTACAAAGCTACAGAGAAACCCTGTCTTGGAAAAAAATCACCATGGACACATGGTTGAGAGGCTCACATTCATCCCAAACTCAACAGCATTTGCCCAAGCATGAACTAATCCATCGAGACACCATTTCCCTTCTTCCTTACCTTCCTCGAATTTCCCGTCTTCCTAGGACAGCCTTAATGCGGAGCTACAAAGATGCAGACATTTCTCAGTGTTAACATTGCAGACATCTCTGGGAAACTTCCTCCCAGGGCACTGGGAATAGATGTCCTACTTAACTTCAGGGGTGTCCATGAGACTAGCTGGGGAGTCCATATGTAGAGAACAGGTTATATAAAGGCCACCTCGTTCGTGATTCACGCAACAAACATTTAGCTACACCCTTCTGTGTGACAGCAACTAGGCTGGACATTGGGGACAAAGCTCTCATCGACCTTATGGTTAAACTGGAAGGCAAAACTCTAAATAGCTAAGTACAAAATAATGTGCTGGGGTGATATGATCACATTTACTGTTTATAGGAATATAGGTATAAAAACAAACCCAAGAATATGCTAGTTCCATGATGGGGATTCCAATAAAGTAGCAGGAAAGGAAATAAATGAGTGGTTATCTTAGAGAGGGAGGGCCGTGCAGTGCTACCTAAGCAAGCCACAGGGGAAAGAAAAATAAACTAATAAACTTCTGCAGCATTCCTGGACTGAGATAGAAGATCACAGGCTTAAAGGAAAGGGATCTGAGCAAGGGGCCTTTGCCTTTGGTGATGGCATTCTAGAGAACCATTTCCGGCTAACCATCACTGGTGAACAGTTATCTCTGCCATCTCCCGGCTAACCATCACTGTACACAGTTATCTCTGCCATCTCCCGGCTAGCCATCACTGTACACAGTTATCCTCTTATATTTCACACTGATCCTTTTTTTTTTAAAAAAAAAAACAAACCTAAAAATAGTGATTCTCCCCACACTGTTGAGTTGTGATGGACAGAAATGGGACCTTGGGTGATAAAATGAGCTCCTAGTGCCCCTTAATAGTGACAGTGACACAAGGGCCTCCTTCAGTGGTGATGGTTACTTGGCACGTTCTCCTGACTGGATCTAGTCACTGAGGCGACCACCTCTAGGCACGTGTGTGAGGGTGTCCCTCGAGAGTTTTAATGGAGGAGGGAAGACCCACCCTAGTCATGAGTGACATCACCCCATAGGTGGGGAGACTGAATAAAAAGACAAAAGGAAAACATGTGAGGAGCATCAGTGTTGATCTCTCTCTGCCTCCTGATGTGTCCAGATGTGAGGGAGCAGTCTCACGTTCTTCTTCCTGCTACTAAGATCCACCCCTGCCCTAGTGTGGTCTTCCCTGCCTTGACAGACTGCGCCCTCGAGCCATGAGCCAGACAGTCCTTCATCAAAGGGAGGGCCTTTTCTATCTCATCTTGAGCGTCTCTGGGAGGGTGGAAGAAGGAGACACTGGCACCCAGGGCACTGCTTCTCCGTCTTTACCTTTAACGTCCACCCGACAGTCCACGGACGCCTCCCCCAGGGCATTGATGGCCTTGCAGGTGTAGATGCCTCCATCAAAAGGACTAGGCTTGCGGATCTCCAGGGAGCAGATCCCCAGCTGACTGAGGGCTCTGTACTTGGGGTTGCCTTGGAGATCCATCTTGTTCTTTAGCCAGATGATCTTGGGCTGGAAGATGAAGGTGAGAGGCAGCGGAGCAGAGTAAGAGCCGGTCGTCCTTCCCGTGTCTAGGACTCTGCCGGCAAGGCTTGTGGATGGTGGCTTCCTGCAAGGGTCCCTGCCCCCGAGGTTGTGGGATTGGATTTCCCCTTTCAGTGCCTATAGCAATGGCTGGAGCTCCTTCTTGGGTTTGTGTCGAGTGACTGAACCCTAGTCCACTCCAACAGATGTCCCTGACTTGGAAGAAACTGCTCAAGGCTGCTCAAGGAGCCTCCGCATGTTGTGACTGGACATCAAGGTCTACTTTGTTTAAATTAAAAGAAAGTTTTAAAACAGGGTCTCCCTATGTAGACCAGGCTAGGCAGACTGGTCTCCCTATGTAGCCTTAACTGTTCTCCCTATGTAGACCAGGCTAGGCAGGCTGGTCTCCCTGTATAGCCTTGGCTATTCTCCCTATGTAGACCAGGCTAGGTAGGCTGGTCTCCTTATGTAGCCTTGGCTATCCTCCCTATGTCGACTAGGCTAGGCAGGCTGGTCTCCCTATGTAGACCAGGCTAGGCACACTGGTCTCAGACCCACAGAGATCCCGCTACCTCTGCCTCTGGAGTCTTGGGACTAAAGGTACGTATTACCACACCTAGCTATGAGCTCCACTTAAAAGTGCATGTATAAAATATATGTATAAAACATATATTCCCTGTGGTCTAGTGGTTAAAAAAACATATATATTTAAGCCATCCTGGTGGTATCGCCTTTAATCCCAGCACCTGGGAGGCAGAGACAGATGCATCTCTATGAGTTTCAGACAGATGCTCTATAGCCAGCCTGGTCTATAGAGCAAGTTCCAGGACAGCCAAGGCTACACAGAGAATCCCTATCTCAAAACAAATTTTTAAATAACATTTATGTGTATGTGGAGAGGCAGAAGGGTACATTGGAGCCATAATGAATGCGTAGAGGTCAGAGGCAAGCTTATACTTTTTCTGTCCACCATGTGGGTCCCAGAGACTGAACTCAGGTTGTCCGGCTTGGGAGCAAGCGCTGTTACCCACTGAGCCATCTTGCCAGTCCAGGGTCTCCATTTTTCATGTACATATTGTGATCCAATCATATCCTACCCCCACTGCGAGTGGTTTCTGTCATTGTCATTCGTCTACCACCACCACCACCCCCGTTTCAGAAGTGGTTTTTCAAGAGTGGTTTTCTCATAATTCCCCTTCCAAGATGTTGTGTCCACCCAGTCTGACCTGTGCTTGTAACCCCAGTTACTTGGTAACGGCTGCTATGGGTGTGGAGTACAATGAACAGATTGCATGCAGAGCGGTGTGCATGTGTGTAATCCTGCATAGACAGGGCATGAGGAGCGACTAAAGAGAAGCCAGTGGGAGCCAGACACTTCTGCCAGATAACTAGCTGGAAGTGATGCCTTTGTACGTGAGGACCTCAGCCTCAAAGGGAACATCGTTTGCATCCATCTATCTTGAATTACAGACACCCTGACAGTTCCTGAGTAACCTGCTGTCCCGGAGGCAGATGGTGGCACTGAGAGCAGATGTTCAATTAGAATGCCCTGTGACATAGCTCAGGATGGGACAGTAGCAGGAAGCGGCTCAGGACACCCCGTCCCCCGAGCTCCCCACTCACCTTGGGAGAGGCGCGCACAGAGCAGAAGAGCTGGGTGTCGTAGCCAGTGATGGTGGTGCAGTCGGCCAGAGGCTGGGTGAACGTGGGGGCTTCCGAGAGGTCCCGCTGGGCAAACCCTTTGGTCTTGTAAACAGGAGCTGTGGGTACCAAGAGGAGCCGCGATGTGGCATCTGAGAGCCTTGCCCCACTTCAGCCCTGTTCTTTCTTTCTGTGGGCTGTTGGCAGCCCACAGTCTCGGCTTGCTTACCTGCTTTCTGGATGTGGGCAAGGTCAGCTGTGACAGGAGCTGTTTCACTGAGCCCACACTGGTTCTCCGCAAAGACGCGAAAGGCGTAGGAGTTGCCAACGATGAGATCGGAGACGACGCAGCTGGTGCGGTGGTAACGCTCCAGGACCGTGAACCACAGCTGTGGGTCCCCGGGAGACGTCGTGTGAGACACCGCAGCTTTGGGCTTTTCTTTCTTTCTCTCATTTTGTTTTGTCTCACCCCACGTGGAGCTTCCGGAAGCTCAGAACGCCTCCCTCCCTCCGTCCCAGACCGGCCTCACCCCAGACTTCTTGTCAGCCTTCTGCACTGTGTATCCCAGGAGTTCTGTATTGCCCGTATCTTGTGGAGGTGTCCATTCCAGAGTAGCGTTGGAGCCCCAAACATCCACCAACTTAATACTCTGAGGAGGGCCTGGCTTCTCTGGAAGGGAAAAGCCATGGCAGTGGGCACCATGCAAACCGCATGTGTTGATCTCACTTAGAAACACCCCTGTCTCCTTTCTTTGTTCAGAGGCCTCCCATAGCCTACCAGCATTTCGGCGACTCCCTGAGCTGGCTCCTGTTCATCCTGGAGAGCCTAGAGATCACCTCTCCCATTACCCAAACTTACCAATCACCAGGATATTGATGGTGGCAGTGGCCTGCAGCCCACCAAGCTGCACACAGAGTTGGTAGCATCCCGAATCAGCACGCTGGGCTTCTCTGATGAAAAGAATGGAGTCCTGTGCCCCACTCCGCACACTCACACGACTGTTGTCCAGGGCAGAGCCATTGTGAGTCCAGGTGGTTTGAGGTTTGGGTTTGCCCTGAGCAGTGGGGATAAGACCGGAGCATCCCCAAGAGGCTCTTATATACACACACTTTCCTCCTATTGCTGCAGGGAGTCTACCCCAGACTCACAGGTATCTTGACCAGGAGCTGCCTTCCTTAAGCTAGAGGGGTGTGTGCGTGCATGTGTGTTTGATAGATTCCTCCAGGGAAATCCCTCCTTTCAGTGTAGTCTCCAGACATAGAACTGACTTTGAGTCTTTTTGGGTACTCAGAATAGCTAGTTAGCTGAGTGGCTGATCCCAAACCCCTAAGAACCCTCTAAAACTGAGAGCCTGGCTGCAGAGCCTGGCTTCGCTTTCCCGCCTCTCACGGGGCATATCTGTCCAGTCAAACCCAACCTTGGGAGCGTGGGATGGTGGTGATCTGGCCTCAGACTGCTGGTACTATGGGTCTTCTCAGCCAAGGCCAGAAAGACGGCCACAGTCCTAGTTCTGTCTCCAAGTCAAAGCCCTGACCTGGTCCCAACATGGGGTTGGTGTGATCACCTGGAATGGGATTAGTAGATTCACTGTGTCCCCAACCTTCCGGATGTAAGTCTGTCTCAGGGCCCGAGGTAGCCAGATCTTGGGGTGCTCTGGGTGATGAAAAGAGAGAACAGGAAACGGATCCTTAGAGGAAGTGGGTGCTGGCCAAAGTGACCATCAGATTAAGCCCCTATCATAGGGGATGTTCCTAGACCCTTCCGTTGTGCTGAGGATCAAACCCAGCAAGATCAGTCACTCTGGGGCTTGATTATTAGACCATACACCCACACCCATTCCATTGCTGGGACTTAGGGAGCAGATGGCTGAAACAACCCCAGGAAATGCTAAGGTCTCTGGAAGGAAAATGGGAGCTGGATGTGGTGGTGCCCACCTGTGACCTTAGCTCCTAGGAAGTGAGCCGGACGGACTGCACGGTGAGAACCTGGACCCTGAACCTGGTGCTGGCTTTGGCTTGTAACACTCGGCCACCAGCTTTCCACCCTTCCACGTGCTAGACCCTTCAGTCTTCACAGCTGATCTTCCCAGTGATGTTTTGCTTGGTCCTTCATAACATTGCTGTCCAAGTGAATCCTCTCTCAGGCGGTGCCGGCAGTGAGAGACGGCTCTCTGCTCTGCAGAGGAGTCAACACCCTGTCCTCCCACGGAGGCAGAGCTGAAGACATGCCAGAGGGAGCCAGGCACTGGCTTCTCTTCATGGCCACCCTGCTCCTTACACTGTGTGGCATTCTTCCCACAGGTAGTAGATCACGCCATACAAACAAACTCTGGAGATGATTGGGTCCATTCCCTTGCCTTTGGTCTCCAGGCACGTGTCAGGAAGTGTTAGGAGATTATGCGCCTTTTGCAGCCAATGTAGGCGAGAGGTACTCAGGGGGTTGCAGGATTTGTTTTCGGGAGGATGCTGAGGGGTAACCTTGGCTGGAGAAGTTCAGACATCCCACCTGGCTCACTTGAGGACCGGTTTTTCCTCCTGCCTTTCCAGGGTGGCTGTTTCCTCCTTTCTCCAAGGCAGTCCCCCTGCTTCTTTTGTCTTAAGTTATACTGTGGCAGCACCTCAGTTCCCACAACAACCCAAGACTTCCTGCCAAAACTGTTTCCTAGTAGTTGAAGAAATTCCACCCTGGTACATTCCTGCGGCCTGAGCGCTTGACAGGGCATTCCAAGTTTGCTGATAGCACACATTTCCCTGAGAGCACTCTCCTGTGCACTGGGCCCAACATGAGCATGTTTGCTTATAGACTGGACAGCTCAAATGCGTACATTGTATAAAGCAACCCTTTAGATGAAGCGAGCTAAAAGAAAATAATAGACAGAGGTCCCGCTGTGTTCTTCGTATGCCACATTTTATAGACCACCTCCCATTATGACCACTTGTCTTCAGAAGTTAATAGAAACACGACCGCTTGCTGAACATCTCGTTGATCTAGCTTCCTTATTTTGCTGTGCTCCCTCGGGTTGGACCTGAGTTGGTCTGCACCTTTGGAAGCTGTGTGCTAAGGGGACACGAGTGTTCTCAGTAAGAACAGGGCAGGCATGCTGCCCAGACTGCCCAGTGACCCTGCTCTGTCTGCTCTCTGCTGACTTTGGTCGCAGGGGGGTGGGGTGGGAACAACAGAAGTGTTGTATGATGCGTTCCTTTTCTGTGGCCATCTTGGCAAGCCACCAAGGGGTTGAACAGAGACGGATGTGAGAGATTTTTTTTTTTCTTTTTTAAGGAGAGAAGTAATTGAAAAGGAAGATCAAAAAACCTCATCTTGTTGGCCTCGGTTTCCCATTGTCGAGCAAGGAAATAAGCTTTCGCACTTGCCAAGGGACACACTCCTCTGTCCCTGTGCTACCTACCGGCCATGGGAGTTAAAAAGGCTCTCAGTGAGTACTCAGAAAAACAAGCCAACTGGAGGGGGCAAGGCTCAGAGAGACACCGACTTGCTGAGCTCCAGGCTAGGTGTGGAGTTGTGCCTGGCGCCCAGGACTCCCGCCTCCCTAGCTGGAACCAGAAGTCCGAAGGACCAATTTTCTAAGCATGGCTCATCTATCCAGTCTCCTGCACTCATCAGTGTCTCCCTAGACCAAGGTGCCAAAGTCAGGGCCTGGTATGACCTCCAGCAACCCAGAGGATGTGGGGAAAGAAGGGAGACAGAAGGGTAGGCTCAGGGGCCAAGCAGACCTGAGTTGTGAGGACACAATCCACGCTTCCCACTGGGAGACACATAAACTGAGTCCTACCTTGCTGAGGTTTCAGCTCAAGACCTGGTCTGGCCTTCTGCTGATTGATTGATGGGAGCTGATATCTGTTTGTACCTGGCATTTCTTATGTCTTTACAAATTTTCTCAGAGAATGTTAGCAGCTGTTCACCCACACTAGAGAGAAAAAGGAGTATCAGCTCAAGTGTGCAGAGCTGGGGGGATGTGCAAGGCAGCCTTTGAAGTCTGAACAGGAGCCCGCCGTGGAGGTGCTGAGGTGGGGGAGGGTCTCCCTGTGGCTCTTTATTTATGAGTCTTTGACAAGACGGTCATATTGAAGTCACCAGCGTGTCCCTGACTCTCAAGGAAGAGCCGCAGATGGCTCTGAGGGTGACCACACGCTGGTTAGCAGAGGGGGCCTGGCAACTAGCAGTGCCCTGTCAGCATTGGGTTCTGTCACCTTTCAAATTCAACCTGGTCAGCAACCTGACCCTTTGCTCAGAAAGTTAACTGAGGGCTCCTTGGAGACCTTTCTCTTCACGCCTCCGTGTAAATTGGACTGACCTTGGGGAGGTTTCCCCATCACACCCAAGGGCATTTCCTCCTCAGATGTCAGGAAACAACGTGACTCAGAGCCCAGAGTTCTAAGGAAGAGCCTCAGTGTTCTCAGGCCAAGACCGATGGCCACAGTTTGATTTTTCTCCCCTTGTATTCCTGGGGGGAAAAGGATTTTGAAATTTCCTTTGAGAAACATTGACCTCTGAGCTGGATTGTTCTCATTCTTTTCTCTCCAATATAATATTGTCCGAGTCTCAAAAATGTAGCTTATTTTGAGTCCTGAGATCTTGGCTATCCTACTATCTACCCCAATTTTAATCTCCTGAAGCTCATGTTCCTTTTTTTTCTATTCTCACAGGAAATAATTTGCCATATTCTCCCATAATTTTCTGCTACATGGCCAGAGACTTTCTCTCCTGAGATTGTATGGCTCATCACTGCTACTAACTATGGCCTGGAGAGAGAAGAAAAAAAGCACATATATCGGAGAGTGGTGTGTGTGTGTGTGTGTGTGTGTGTGTATACATGTGCACAAATAAATGCATGCATACATAAACATGGCTGTGTGAGTAAGTGGTTACCAAAACAAGGACAAAAGGTTCAAAGCCACTTAGGGATTTGAAAGTAAATATTTCTAGGGATTTAAGAAGGACGCATCAGACTTTCTCAGAGAAACATTTACACTTTTACACTCTACATTGGTAGGGTGTGGTTGGAAAAGAAAGGGAAAACTCTCCTTATAAAGGACAACTTTATAAACCCTCCTTGAAGACTATGAAAGCAAGATTAGGAAAACCAAAAGGCTAGAGAAGCGGAAATAACGGTTCTCTGTGATAAATACTCATCATCCCTTCTTGGTCTTGCTCTCATGGTTGGGGGCTTTGGACCCTGCTCACTGCCTCTGTCGTCAGCACGGCTCCACTCAGAAGTCCTAGTCATTCCAATGTCTATTATTTTAACCCCCGCTGGTCCTCTCACTCCCTGGTTCACTGTTGAAAGCGGGGGTTTCAGCACCAGATAGATGAAGTGAGGACGTGACCGCTCTAAGGTACGGTCGAAGGGAAGGTCTTTATTGTCAATACGAGGAAGAGGGCAGCCAGAGGCATCCGGAAAAGAGAAGAGCGGGGAGAGAAAGTAGTGGACTGTCCATGACCAATAGACTGAACCCAGTCATGAGAGGAGGAGGAGGAGAGAGAGAGAGAGAGAGAGAGAGGGGGGGGGAACGCCCAGAGAAAGCCAAGGGAACCAAACGGCGGGGGGGACGCCAAGAGACAGCCAAGGGAACCAAGAAAGAGCATGACCAAATTGTAGGGTCATATGGGAATGAGAAGGGAAGGGAGGACGGGAAGCCCAGGAGTTGGAGAAGTTGAGGGTAGGGTGTAGGGGGCGGGGTGAGAAAAGCTGAGAGGAGCCACAGTACGGAGTGAGCCTGGAGGCCAGCAGACATGGTATATCTGGCATGGTACCTCCTAAGGATGCTGATAGGAACCGCAGTTAGCCGTTTGATCTGAGTTTCTTTTGGACCTGATACCAATTCAGTGCCTGTTGGATCTCGTGGTCATTCTCCCAACTACAACCTTCCTGTGATCCAGAGAGTGGTGCACTCTCTCCACACCTCTTTGACAAAGACAGCCCCTTGACCACCAACTCTGATGTTACCTGATGTCACAGTACATCTGAGCGGCAAGTGCCCCACCAGGGACAGTTTCCAGTGACCGCTGCTGTAGGCTGGGTACTAATTCTCTCTGATGTAGTGTGAGTAGAGAGGATGGGGATTGTTTCAGTGCCAGGGCTTGTAAGAAATGACTTCTCTGTGAACCCCAACTTCTGTCTGTAGGCAGATTACCATAGGACCCCTCAAGTGGCAAAATCCCCGTAGGAAAAATGCCAGTGTCCGTAAATTGCTTTGTGGAGAATGATCTCCCTACGAGGGACGCTTATTTTCAGTCCTATACTAGCAGTAAGAAGCTCACCCAATTTTTAAGGTGTACTTGTTTCAGCAGCTAGTACCCCTAACGGATAGACTCTTCCCATTTGCTTCTCATCCTGAATGCTGCCATATTGCAATTCTGTCATGCCACAGACGCGTGTCTCCCCGCCCCACCAGTCTCCCTAGCCTTTCTTCCCCATGAGCCTGGAGTTCACGGTCACAACACCCACTTTCTTGCATAATCACCCAGCTCCTTCTGTCCTCTCTCACTTCATTACACCCTCTTGGCAGTGCCTAATCCTGGTTAAATAAACCTCCACCCACACAATGTCTGTGAACGCACAGACAAGCATGTAGGAGAAAACAAAATTTTTGCTGACTTGACATCGAAATACAATGTCTGTGTATATGAAATTCTTGACAAATAACAATGCAGCATGTATGAGACATGACACCTTAGATAGGGGCGTCATAGTTTCTCCCTTCCATGAATTCCCTCAGCCCCTGAAGACCCAAATGTGAAGTGTGAATAATAGTATGTAAGTGACTTATGAAAATGGAATTGATTATGTAAATGATTAAAATATATTCTGACTTGACTGTTATGATGCTTTCAGACAGACTTTGATAATTTTTTTTTTGAGACAGGGTCTCACTATGTAGATTAAGCTAGTTTTGAACTCACAGAGATTCATCTGCCTCCCAAGTGCTGATATTAAAGACTTTGTATCACTACTGCCCATCATCACCCCGACCTGGCTGCCCTTTGTCACCCCTGCCCTGGCCGCCCCTCGTCACCCCTGCCCTGGTTGCTCCTCGTCACCCCTGCTCTGGCCACCCCTTGTCACCCCTGTTCTGGTCGCCCCTTATCACCCCTGCCCTGGCTGCCCATCATCCCAGAATCAATTCATCCTTCATAGTGCTGTGGCTTGGTGACTCTCTGTCCCTCGGTCCTAGCACTGTCTCTCTTCCTGGCTGTGCCATCGCCTCAGTGACCCAGCCCATTAAGTGCATTACTGCCTCAGGACCTTTGCACTTGATCTATCAACTGAAAAAAAATAATCCACTTAAATATCTACTATATTGCTGCTCAAATCATACCCTGTTCGTGAGGCCTTTGCTCATCATCCTATCTGGAACATGAAGTTTGCTTGCCTCTTCCCTCCAGCTCTTGGACTCCTTTCCTGTGTTACTTTTGGTACCCTCCTACCCACACTGTCTTTGACTGTCCCCTTCCTTCTATTAGAATATACCTTGAAGGCATTGTTTTAATTAATTCTGTTTGTTTTTCTACCTGGATACTGCTAGGATACTGTCTAGCATATACTAGGTAAGGAAGTCAGTATTTGTAGGGGGAGGAAGGAAACCACAGAGGCAGGCTGACTCCTCTTCAGTGTGAAATCAGCTCCCATGCCTGGAAGACACTCAGAAGTTCAGATGGGACACAGGTGCACAGCTGCTCACAGCAATTCTGTTGAAATTAGTGGCTGACCGTCTCTGTCGCAGGGCCCCGTTTCTCCAGCTCAGGGGTGTAGCTCTTCCCTAGCCTCTCCTTTAGATCCTTCAGGTTTTGACTCCTGGACACAGTACCTCGGTGGGCACTGAGGGTAAATGGTACCAATGCCAGCTGCGTCATCCTGCTGATTTGGCCATGCGGTTGGCCTGAAAGTCCATTATTGTTCACTTACAGCCTGTTCTGATTATGCCAGTGAATTTCTGCCCACTTGGCTGTCCCTGCTGTCACAGAGTCTCTGCAGCACCCCTCAGATTCTGTGCCCTCTCTGAGGAACAGACGGTGTTAGAAGGCAGTCAGTCTTGGGAACTCTCAGAACTTAGGAGTCAAAGGTCCCCCGTCAGGCATCCTTCAAGATTGCTAGGTGAGTTTCAGAAGCCCTGTGAACTTCAGCAACATTTTTGGTTTACCTTTCCCAGGGTTAAGAGTCCAAGAGTGAGTAGCGCTTTCGGACCCTATTTGGAGACAGAACATGGTTGTCATCTCTTTCTTGGAAATGTTCCCATGTTGGTTTAGCCTCTCTCAATGCAAATCAGATCACTTCGGCAACCCTTCTAACTGCCCTGCTTGGGAGATCTTTAAAGTCCTTTTACAGAGAAGAAACTGAAACTGAGCAGTTAAGTTGGATTGTCCAAGGTCACCGTGTAGCTTGAGGTCACCCTGGGAAAGGAGACTGGAACTTCGCCTGCCTGTCTAGAATGTCATTTTTTTCTCCCACCTCTTCTCTTCCCGGGAGTTCATAGGTTCCTTGTGTGTGGTCTTCAAATCTCCTGCAAATTTAACCGGGTGTACCACTGGGGTTTTGTTGGGCTAAATGTTTAGCACAGCCACAGGGCAGCTAAGACCACCACAAAGAAGGGAGGAGCATGTTCATTTGGCTCCGGGCAGTTTTCCAGGTAAGCCGGGGGAGGGGGCTCAGCCAGGACAGTTGGGGCTGGGGCAGTTAGCAGGGCAATGGGGCTGGAATGGGCACCATAGAGCTCTGACTTTGAGAGGCCACGGCCAGGTGAGCTGGTGCAGGGCATTAGGGTACGGTCCTGATGCTGTAGCAAGGCCCAGGTGGAGACCACCTAAGATGCTCAACCTCCTCATAGCCTTGGTTTTGGGATCATTCTTCCTCTAGAAATGTCCACTCCCTCACCCCCACCCTCCCACCCCGTTCCCTTCCCCGTTGGCGTTAGCTATGAGTCTCCTGGGTCTTCCCAGGACTTTGTGGCTGTTTTTGATGGTAAAAATATAAAAAAATCATTGCTAGTCACTGTAAAGTGCCACTTCACTCACCAACTTTTCAGCTAAAGAGCAAACCACAGAGATATTTAAGTAGCAAGTCCCAATTTGAGAAGGAATGTGAGGGCTCCCATGAATATTCCTACATTAGCCTCAGTAGCAGTTCCCTAAAGTTCTTAAAGCCGCGCACAGGGGTGGGTGGACCCCGAAAGTGTATCCAAGACAGGAAGGTCTCGCCTCCCCTCCCTCCCAGGCTTCTCAGCATCCCCACCTTCACCTTCAATAGAGGACAGGAGCTGTGGAGAGGGGCTGGCTGCCTCCTGCTGATGTAAAACCTGGGTTCCTCCAGCATCCTCTGGGCCAGCAGCTGCTCCCACCTGCCGCTGGGAGCATGAGGCCGCCTCCAGTGTGGTGGCTGTCTCCATGCTGGGCTCCGATGTTGCTGAGGGAGGGGCTGAGCACCTGCTGTCCAGGCTGATCTCCCTGGGGTCCGCAGCCAGCCGTGGGCTTATGTAAGTGGGCTGGCTTTTCCCCACCCACCTATTCCCACTGAGGGGTGAAGTAGGGGCCAGGGGAAGAGGAGGATCAGAGAGCAGCCCAGAATAGCTACAGGAGGGGGGCTGAGGTGGCCCTGTTATCTTGGGTGTGAGATGACACCCCTACAGCATCAGGAGGGAGAGGGGAGCTGGAGCACAGGGTGCATGGCAGGGACTTCTGTCTTTGGTGAGAGACCTTCATGATAACTCCTGACCTCCAGCCCATTCAACCGGGCATGGTGTCCCAAGACCAGCAAACTCTCAGGTACAGCTTTAGCTGCCCCCATACTTACTGAACAGCAGGTCCACACCTTGGCCTTCATAAGGCCCTCCCTTTGCTGTCCCAGCCCCAAGGGCAGGGCAGGGCAGGGCAGGGCAAGGGTGAGGACAGTCAGTCCTCTGCAGCCAGACTACACTGGTCACACTTGAGATCTGTCATCAGCCTGCCCCTCTGTGTATGTGTATGTATGTACCAGGGGTTGTCTCCCACCTTCCCTTGTGCTTGTGTGTGTGTGTACTGGGGGTCATCTCCTACCTCCCTCGTGTGTGTGTGTATGTGTATGTGTGTACCAGGGGTTGTCTCCCACCTTCCTTTGTGTGTGTGTGTGTGCTGGGCTTGAACCCAGGGCCTTGTGCTTGCTAGACAAGCCCTCCCCCAGGCCCCCACCCCCAGCATCTCAGACGTTGGGTTTCATTTGTGAAGTGGAGATAATAATAACCATAGGGTTATGAGGATTAAACGAGGTAATCTCTCTAAAGTGCTTAGCGGAGTGTAGCTGACTAAGTGCTGGATAAATGGAAGCTATTTTTAGTCCAGACCAGCATTTTCCCCTTTGAAAGCTGTCAATGGCTCTCTTCCTAGGAGATAAAGCACAAATGAAGTGAGAGGCAGCCTAGCAAGAGAGGAAAGCTCCCCAGGGACAGGGACCCGTGACATCTGGCTGCACCAGTCAGCCACCAGCTGATGGCTCTGAACCTCAGGTCTGTGGAACGAGGGGCAGTGATGCCAGGATGATCCTGGGATACAATAAAAAAGCTGGTTCATAGCCAGCCCACAGTCAGTGCTAACTACACCCAAAAGTCTGATTTCCAGGCGTATCCAGCCATTCTGCTACACACGTTGTACCCTCCACCCAAATTATTGGGTTTCCTATTACAGCCCCCTTTTTCTAACTCAGGGACCTGCGGTGCTGTATTTATTTTAAATTTTTCACTTTATTTTTATGTGTATCAGCATTTTGCATGCATGTATGTCTTTGCATCGTGTGTATGTCTGCTGCCTCTGAAGGCCAGAGTAGGGCGTCAGGTCTTCTGGGACTAAGTGAATTGCCATGTGGATGCTTGGAACCAGACCCAGGTCTTCGGAGAAAGTAGTCAGTGCTCTAACTGCTGAGCCATTCGAATGCCACATCCACACTTGAAGGTCAGAGGACAACTTTTGGGAGTCAGTTCTCTCCTTCCATCTTTTTAAACTCAGGATCGTCGGGCTTGGTGGCAGGCATCCTTACCCACTGAGCCATCTGATTGGCCCATCGATTGGGCTGGACTGGCCAGCCAGTGAGCTCCAGGAATCTTCTGTGTGTGGGATTGTTAAACAGGCTTGAGGCTTGAACTCAAGTCCTCTGTGTGGCGGGCACATTACTGACTGTTTTCTCCTGCTTAGCGAGACCCACTTTTTATTCCGCACTTAGTCACGTTTTTACAGAAAAGTAATCGGTCTGTAGTGTTAGCCCCTTCTTGTCCCTCAGATGTAGAGAATGTATAAAGAATCAAACTTAAAAAATAGAGACCCCTCAGGTCTGCTCCTTAGAAAATCCAGTTCAGAGCTGGGCACGGTGGCTCTTATGTGTAACCCCAGCACTCTGGAGGTAGAGGTAGGAGTACCACCATCAACTTTAGGGCAGCCTGGGCTTTCTGGGGCAGAGTCTTAGAACATGCTAGAATCCCTTGAACCATTGATTTAATCCTGCCCAAGGGGTGGCCCCTTCAAGAACAAGGCCTGTGCCCTGGCATCTCCAGACCCAGATATGGGAGCACCAAATGGAAGTATTGGCTCAAAGTGCTCTCCCATGGCAAGGTGGGATGGCTAATGGCCGAAGGTAGGTGGGCAGGAAGCTCCTTCAGGCAAAGCTTGGAAATGAGGAGGCTGAGACGCTAAAGGCCTGTGAGAGAGAAGGCACACATGGGACAAAATGACCACAGGGAACACACGGTTCAGGAGTGCAAACACGCCACTGTGTCCACACGTGTAGAAACACACGGTTCAGGAGTGCAAGCACGCCGCTGTGTCCACACGTGTAGAAACACACGGTTCAGGAGTGCAAACACGCCGCTGTGTCCACACATGTGGAAACGCACGGTTCAGGAGTGCAAACACACCGCTGTGTCCACACGTGTAGAAACACACGGTTCAGGAGTGCAAACACGCTGCTGTGTCCACACGTGTAGAAACAGACACCGGAGAAAGTGTGTGGCGGGCTGTCGGGCTTCCAGGAGGTGACAGGAAGATGGCCCTACACAACCCCGTGGGAGGCAGATCTTGAGCATAAAGAGAATGGAAAGGACGAGAAAGAAAACTTCTGGGCAAGCAGTCCGTTTGTTTGGGAGTCGTTTCCTCAGAGTATCCGCCACCTTCCAAGCTGAAAGTGCACTAATTAGCTTCAAGCCAGAAGCATCTAACTGATGCTTCTCTGGCTGCCAGAGTTTTGATTTCTGAAGGCAGAAAGCTAAAACTCTAATAAACTGGAGCTTACTCATCTTGGTAGGTTAGGAACCAAAGTCCAGGCTGTTTTATTTCTAACCCAAATACTGCAAATATACAGAAAATTACCAGTACAAAGTTAAACACATCCAGATTTATTTACACAATGCTAAAGAAGTTTTGCGTTTTATTTCCATTTTGTGGGATTTCGTTATGGGGTCTGGCTTTGCTGTGTAAGTGACACAGGTCTTTGAAACTTGATAACCCCACCTCACATGCAGTGTTCTGTCCCAGGTGGGCAGACATCTGGAGTTCTCAGTGTACATGCAGTGGTGGTCACGACCCTGTTTAATGCTGTCCCAGGGAGGCAGCTGCCCCTCACAGCCGGGGCGGGGCCGCATGCTCAGAAAGGAACAAAGGACAAGAGGGGAAGGACAGGCACGTGGGGACCCTGAGCATTTCTGTGCATGAGGAGAAAGAGAATGCAGCCCCAGGCCTCCTCCCTGGAGCCTCAGAACACCAGGAAGTGGCAGAACCGCCAGGGGACAGGAAGTCACCAGACCACAGCTGAGGGCATGCGGAGGATGAGAAGGGCACTAAAAATCCGGGCCATACCGATAAATCATTAACATGTACACTATACAGTTTATACATGTATATATGTACACACACATATATATAAAGGTACAGATTAGCTTGTGTTATCCCATATAAACAGATACAGAAGAATGTACCGGTGTGAAAAAGTGCACGCAAGTCCTTGAAGACAATTTCAAGTTAGTGCTCCGATTCTTACTGTTATAATGCATGGAACCAGGAGACAAGCTGCGCCCGTGGTTTCTGCGACTCCACAGCAACCCATACCTGACAAAGCACTGGCCAACAGGACACAAAGTCTGGTACCTGCTTGCCAACCCTGGGCTTCCCTGTCAGTACATCATATGGCAAATCTTAAACTTTGGTTTTGTTCCAAAACACATTTAAGTTCACATCCCTTTCCCTCTGGTAGGAAAGTGATAAAAGATTGATATGCTGCGTCCCATCCTATTTTAGCGATCTTTGTGCATCCTGACTGAGCTGGGAGGGCTATGCCAACACATGGATGAACCCTTTGCCAGTGTGCAGAGGGGTGGGGTTCTTCAGAGCGCTGGAGCAAAGGAAGGCTCTACCCATATGGTTTACTTGCAGGGCAATAAAATGAGTAACGTCATACCAGGCCTCTCACTGTGGGGCTTGCTGGAATGTGCTGTGCCCCTCTCTGCATCCTAGCATCCCCATGATGGTTCAGTACAGTGTGCCCAGCCAGGGCTTCTAGGCCTGACCAGCAAAGGAGCTGAAGGCGGTCCACAATGCTACACTGCCAGAGAGGAAAAGCTAGTGCTGGCAGGCGGGGTGGGGGGGACGACTAGAGGGAAGCCCAAGAGCTGGGTCTGCACACCGGAATGCCGAGTCAGAGACAGTTAAGGCTGACAAAGCTTCTGGGCCCCCTGTGGAGCTGACAGCGCTCTCTGAAGGTCTCTGCTGCTGGGACCAGTGCCCCATTTAATTCACAGCATTAGCACATCCAGCCCTGGCCTCAGGTCTCAGGAAAAACCCAAGGTCCTGAGGTCTCAGCAGAAAGCACGCTTTGGATTTAAAACTCAGGCCACCAGGGACAGTCTGATCTGTCTGAGCTATCTAACAGCATAAATCCTATCGCTCAAGTCTATCGATCCTCTGCCCCACAAGGCCGAGAGTGCTGGGATGCTCTCCAGTGACGGTGCCAGGGCTGAGCAGGACAAACCAAACTGGATTTTTTTTTTTAAGACATAAAGAACTTAAAAATCTTAAACCTCTGGCTGGGGTTGCATATTTGTGAATGTGACTGATGCTGAGAGCTACCTTAGGGGCAACCCCCAAGCCCAGAGAGCCAGCTAGCTAGGGGAGAGACTCACTTCCTGTGCTCCAAACAGTGACCACCACCAGGGCAGAGGGGACACTCGGATTGCCGTAGCTTTTTATTTCAGTCATGAAGCAGGGGGATAAAGTTTTGTTTTCTAAAGAGAAAACAATGCTCCGAAGAAACGCCACTGACCTGTCCTCAACCCCAGCAAGTCACACCGCTAGGAAGCTCCCCTCCAGATACTGAGCACCTTCCAGGCTCAGAGTCCTGAGGACCGGGGTGACTGACTCAATTTTGGCTGCTGAGCTCTATGGCAAGAATAGTGAGCAGCTTACGAGAGGATGTAAGGAAAGCAAGCAGAGCGCTGACGGG